CTGATTGAGTTTCACCAATTATATCTGAAATTCCTTTCTTGAGCCTAGCCGCAATAGCAGCAGAACATTTTTTTATAATCTGTATTCAGTAAGGTAATAGGTCTTAAGTTATCCAAATGTCTTTTATCTTTGCCTGATTTAGGGATGAGAACAATCAGTCATTGTTTCATACTCACCGTCAATTCTTCTTTATCAATACAATCCAATAGGGCTTTAAATAGCATTTTCCTTATACTGTCCCAAAAAAAATTGTAAAAATTTACAGTGAGACCGTCAGATCCTGGGGATTTATTTGAGGTCATTTTCATAATGACAGAATCCAGCTCCTCCATTTTAAATTCAGCATCACAGTTTTCTTTGAAGGAAGCCTCAATCTTTGGAATCAAAGCAGGGCAACCACAATTTTAATTTGATTTTTTTTTACTTTTTCAATTTTGGTTGCTCCCTTCTTCAGGGGTCACCACAGTGAACTAACTTGCATGAAGAATTGGCAACTATTATAACACAGGGTGGTGATGCAACCACAGACCACCGAGCTAAAACAGCCCTCAGTGTGGAGCAGAGAACTGCTATCTGGTGGAGCAGAAGGTGGGGGTTAAGGGACTTGCTCCAGGGCCCAGAGTGGGGCAAATGAGGGTGGAGGAGGCTGACGTGGGTGCTTCACCTTTCCCACTCATATTTTTTTGTGTTGTCTGTACCAGGAGTTGAACCGGCGACCTTCCGATCACAGGCCTACCTTCTCTAAACTCTGCGCCACCACTCCCCAGCGCTAACTGACTTCATAAAAAACATAAATGGTTATAACTCAGTCACTTACTCGCAATAACCTTTATCAAACCTCGTTTGTCTGTTAGCAAAATGCCTTTTGAACCACTGAATGGATTTCAATGGAACTCTCAGAATGTATTAAATGGCTGCACATCTACAACCGATTAACGTTTTTTAGTCACCCCAATCCAAGATGGCCATCACAGCTGACTGATTTTAACCTTCACAAAGTTGTCTATATTCTGTGAATGTCACGGGTATGGAGCTCCACCTTTTGCATGGTAGTAGCTGACAATCATTCAGAAACCGTATTTCAAGCGCTCACTCACAGCATTATCACAGGCGATTGCAAATGATTTGATCTATTTATTTCTCATCATAAGATGATATTTGTCAAACACTGGAATAGAAGTTAGCGAGTATGCATTCTTTCAAGGACTGCTTTAACTTGACTTTTTTTTGGGGCTGTGATATCTTGACAATATGTATGAATATAAATGTTTTATTTTTACATTTTAATTTATGCACGCACACAGACACCTGTCTTACTTCTTCAAATTAATGCTGATGTTTTAAAAACTGCATTACACATCACCCCTCGGTGTCTCACTTTGTAAGTCTGCAGGACTGGTTTCTTGCATTTATTTCCAACTATGCTCTGACTGAACTCTGTTTTTTAAGCTGCTGCCACTTCCATTTGAAAATGCTCAGCCAGGGAATCGACTGCATGCTTTGCTTGCAGCATGAAAACAACATTTGTACAAGAATAATGAGATTAAAAGGAGTCTTCAAGGATACAAATGATCAATCCTCACTCAATGAGATTACTAAACACTCCTTGAAATTAGATGGTCATCGGACAGCCTAATGATTATAGATTTTTTATGTCACTTTGATAATTTTGTAAGTTGAACAAGTACGATAAGAATAATAATGTAAGTTTTGCTTTATTTGTTGTTTTATGTTTTGTTTAAATACATTAAAAAAATTGTTCTTTGCGCCCATTCCAAGAAATGGTATGTTGCAGCGGATTATAAGTTGCATTAAGAGAAAGAAAACAGTCAGATAAGTCAAACTTTATTCAACTCATTCACAATAACCACGTAGAATCGGTTCAAGGTCAGCAAGCACAACCAGAATTAATACATACTGTTGATTTTTGAGAACGTTAAAGGATTTTAATTGCGCCTTATAGTCTGAAAAATATGATAAATCTGAAGTTATGCTGGTAGCCGTTTTTCTCTAGTTGGTATAAAAGTATCAGGAATATTCATCACAAATGGAGTCATTGTGGAATAAGTTACTCTGCTTTAAGCTGCTGCCATGAAACTACAAAAAAATATCTGTACATCATGTACTTTCCAGTCAGGACAAAGCTTTCTGAAGGGAGTCGGAATGTGACCAAATTTATCCTAAATGAACCAAAATCCATACAAAGGTGGTGTTTAAATGGTAACACATTCACATAAAGTAGAATCTTAACAGCAACTGCATAAATATACGACTGCATTAAAGTCTATAAAAATATGACACTGATGATGACACTGACTTTAGGATCATTGGTTTGACGTGAACTAGAGTTAGGTGGTAATGCAGTTTTAAAGTATGGTTTCAAAAACAGCAACAGTATTGTTTTAAACACAGTCCTTAAAAGACTCCGCCATGCGCAAATAAGTTCAAACTGTAATGTTTGTGCACGAGGGGGTTATTTGTTTAAACTCTTCTACTGATATTACTGAGCTGTAGCAGTAATATGTTTGCAAGAGTAATTCCTTCTGTTTATGCTGGAAGCATTATAGAATTTAATGTAAACAACAATCCACCTTGTTGACCATGTTGCGTGTGTAGCTTGTTGATTTTTTTGTGGCCTGTTTCAACCGGCGCACATCCAATAAATTACATTGAACAGTTTAAGTTTACTGGGCTGTACTCTGGTGCTGTGATGGACTTATGATAAATGGACTGTACTCCCATAGCTTCTTTCTAGCCAACTTGGATTCTTGTGCTTTTATACATTCATGCAGCGCTCTACATCTCCACAAAGCTAATCCAAGTAAATTATTCTGAGACAAATCAATGATTTAGATTACATTCATTTCGTGGGACAGACATAGGAAACAGTGATGGGTGCAGTCTCTTACACCGACACATTTCGGCATGTGACTGTATACTGGTGGAATCGAACCCCCATCTCTCTCATTGGCGGACAACTTCTCTAACCACTCGCCCACAGATACTACACTGAGGATGTGTCCAGGGTGTACACATGTTAGGGAATTTTTGGTCAAATGTTATGGATGTTTTTAACTACTATGGCTGAGAATGTTAACTCTCTCAGAGACAACTGGGTGAGGAGCTGGGTGAGGAGCTGAGTGAGGAGTTGGGTGAGGAGTTGGGTGAGGCTACAGTGAACTGATGAGAGTATAAAAACAAGCTTCACACTCTGCTTGTGGCAGATTCTCATGACTGGTCTACTTCCTGCCTTGTAAGTCAACACCAGTTAAAAATCTCCTTTTGTCGAGTGTGGCTCCTTTAGAGTAAGTAAGATAAAACAAGAATATTTGTTCCACCAGTGTACCCCAACTCTCTCGAAATGACTGATGGAAATACTGTAAGTGGCAACTCCCCCAACACCAAAAGGACAAAGCAGGTAGAGAAAATGGATGGACCAGGGGTCTGCAAGTTTTATGATCAAAAGAGTCTTTCTGCCCTTCCTTCACTAAATTAAACGTGTTCAGAGCCGCAAAACCTGTTACAATTATCATTATCAACTAGTGGCCCGTGGGCCACTTTAAGTCTGTTAGAATGTGCTTTTCTGGCCAGTAGGCATGAATTTATAAAACTAAAAACATGATTGTTAATGTTTGTTTAAATTTGTACATTTTGAGACAAAAGGAAATCCAGAAAAAAAAAAAATTATCCATCCATCTGTTCAGCCACCCATCCATCTTTACTTGCTTTTTCCTTTTCGGGTTGCAGGTGTCCATATCCAGGTCGCAAGAAAAAAAAAATACTTATTGACTAAAAACAATGAACTGTGCAGATTTATGCGTGTGTTTTTTTTATTATTGTGGAGAAATTGAGTATCCTACTTTGAAGATTTAAAGCATAAAGTGAAAGTGAGTATAATTTACTCTGCATATTAGTACTAGTATCCATATATTTGCAAAGGAAATGACAGAAAAACTGATAAAACTAGTCATTTTTTTGTTGTGGGAATAAAATCCTTCAAAATTGAGTTTTATGTTAGTTTTGTACAAAGCTTGAAAGAGCCGCTGCGGAGGGACAAAAGAGCCACATGTGGCTCCAGAGCCGCAGGTTGCAGACCCCCTGGGATAGATGGACAAATGATGGATGATGGATAGATGGAAGGATGGATGGATGGATGGATGGATGGATGGATGGATGGATGGCATTGGAAATAAAATAAAATTTAAAAAAACTAGTCCCTAATCCACTTTTGCCTTGAAATGCAAATCAGATCAGACTTTGTCAGTAATTTTGTTTGATGATACAAGGTTCTCCTACCCAGTGGTTCAGTTTCATTGGCAGTTCCAGCCTAAAATAGCCGGCATTAAAGCATCAGTGGCTAATTTCCATTTTTAGATCATCCAGCTCTCGTTAGTCAGACTCTCGTTCTTTAATAATAATCTTCTTCCAGCCTCCTGTTGTTTTGTTTGCACAGATGCCAGTGATACCATGGCAGAAAGCAGCATGGCTAAAAGGATTAGTATTCCTAAACTAAGCAGTGAAATATGTTTAGATTTCTATCACTGATAGTATCCAAGAGGCAAAGATAACTTTTGAAAACCCCAAAAGCTAAAATTCTATTATAAATGCTCTCTGGTTTTGTATCAAAATATGTAAATGACTTTAATATTATATATTTGAGACTCCCATGTATCATTGCAGCTTGTAGCCTCAATGTGTGCGGGGATGCAGCAGTTTCACTGGCACCCACACAACAATGCTCTGTGACACTTACACAGCGGACATGTAAATAGGGAAATTGACAGCTTTAAGGCTAATTTTGTCTCCTTGGTGAAAGATGCACACAGATCTGAGAGCAAGCAGGAAACTTCAGCCTGGCATGTGTGAAATCAATGTTTTCACACCAAAGGTTATGTATTCCCTGCAGCGACAGTATTACTTTGTGTTTGTGTCTGAGATCCTGACATTATGCTTGTTGCGTTTGTGTATATAGGTATGTTTGTGTGTATTTTTTTATGTACCTGGAGGCTCTTGGTTGTTAAAGTGCGAGGGTTTGCCACATAAGAGTGTAAACGTCCATCCACTCTTCTCAACAGCGGCTCAGAGTCTCGGACGTACTGCAGGTCTCTGGATGTCCTCAGGTCCACCACCTCAAGGGACTGACTCACGTTCTGAACCTGACACACACCAAACAGGCACATACATGTGACATAGGTACAGCTGCAGTTGGATGTTTACATAAACTCATCACGGGCATGAATGTCATCATATTTTCTAGATTTAAATAGTTCAAAGAACCCATTTTCGTCTGAGGAATGATTATAAAACATCCAGCTTTAATGTTTTTTAAAAGCAAGAATTGGGTGCAAGAGATTGAATTCATTTGTGGATTTTCTACAACATATCCAAGGTCAAATGTTTTATAATACACAAAACCCACTAAAAGTAGATCAAATGCACCATTGCAAGATGCAGCTCAACCATAGAGGTTTTGTATCATCAACAAGCGTTTGGCACATTTTTTACTGGATAATTGTTCTTATTTAATGGAAAGATTTGGTATATTTTACTTAAATTGGTTGTTTTCATGGCACAGACCAGGCTTTAAAGCATATAGTCAGCAACTTCTCAGTTGGATTAAAGTCGATCATTTGATGCGGTCATTTCAGAAGCTTCATGTTGCCCTGCTTTATCCATTCAGAAACCAGTTTTGATGTGTTTAGGATCACTGAACAACAACAAAACCAGCCTGATCAAGAAAGCTCATCAGAGACTCTACTTCCTCAGGTGGCTGAGACAAGCTGGTCTGAGAAGCTCAGTCCTCACCTCCTTCTACAGGTGTGCAGAGGAGAGCATCCTGTGCTCCAGCATCAACGTGTGTCATGGAGGCTGAACAGCTGCAGAAAGAAAAGCTTTGCAGAGAGTGGTGAAGGCTGCACAGAAGTCTGTTGGAATCAGCCTCCCCACCATCACAGACATTTACACCTCTAGATGCAGGAAGAGGACCGCCTGCTTCATGAAGGACTCCACTCACCCAGCACACACACTTTTTGCCCCACTCCCCTCAGGAAGGAGGTTGAGGAGCATTAAGTGTAGAACCACTAGACTGAGGAACAGCTTCTACCCTGAGGTTGTTAGACTCATGAATCTCTAACCAGAATAATCACTGTGAAAAATCACATCATGTTGCTGCTTATCTGTTCCATGTTGCTGCTGATCTGTTCCATGTTACTGTGTTCATGCATGCTCATCTGCTCACACATACTCGTGTTCGTGCTGCTGTTCGACATAATGTTTTTATGTTATTAGTGCTTAGTGTATATTTAGTCATTGTTTTTCTTAGTTCATATCTTCGATCTTATTACTGTTTTTCTTTTACATTTTATTGTTGGATGTAACTGGGACCCTGTGTACATAATCTCATTCCAGCACATGCACCACATGAGATGCGAATGACAAATAAATCTCTCTGACTGACTCTGAAGCAGCCAAATGAGGGTACGTTGAAGAATTTGTTGAAAGGAGAAGTTGAAAGAACAACAACAGTTCCATGTTGCTAACGACCATTTTGCTAACAGGACTATGTTGCTAAGAGAACCTCACTGCCAAAAGAACCACTCTGCCAACAGAACCATGCTGATGTAGACGGATTTCTTTTCCATGTTTGGCACCTTGTTTTTGTATTTTTGTTGCATGCTTTGGTATTTTTTGTTTGTTTGGCAAGTCGAAATGGTTCTTCTCATCCTGAGCATTTCATTGCATTGTTGACCTTGTGTTGATTTGCATATGACAAATAAACCAAACCTGAACCTGAACCCAAATTCTGATGTAGCCATCCTTCGTCATTCATTATTCCATTCCCTTGTGTAGTTTCCCAGTACCACAGCATGATGTTACCACTATCAGAGTCAGTCAGAGTCAGAGATTCTTTGTTGTCATTCGCACCTCATGTGGTACATGTGGTGGAGCGAAATTATGTGCACAGGCTCCAAGTTACATCCAACAATAAAATGTATAAGAAAAACAATGATAACATCTAAGATATGAACTAAGAAAAACATCAACTAAATATACACCAAGCACTAATAACATAAAAACATTACGTCGAACAGCAGCACGAACATGAGCATGAGTCTGTATGAGCAGATGAGCACGCATGAACACCTCAACATGAAACAGATAAGCAGCAACATTGAAACAGATCAGCAGCAACATGATGTGATTTTCACAGTGATTATTATGGTTAGAGATTCATGAGTCTAGCAACCTCAGGGTAGAAGCTGTTCCTCAGTCTAGTGGTTCTACACTTAATGCTCCTCAACCTCCTTCCTGAGGGGAGTGGGGCAAAAAGTGTGTGTGCTGGGTGAGTGAGGTCCTTCATGATGCAGGTAGCCCTCTTCCTGCATCTGGAGGTGTAGATGTCTGTGATGGTGGGGAGGCTGACTCCGACAGTCTTCTGTGCAGCCTTTACCACTCTCTGCAAAGCTTTTCTTTCTGCAGCTGTTCAGCCTCCATGACACACGTTGATGCTGGAGCACAGGATGCTCTCCACTGCACACCTGTAGAAGGAGGTGAGGACTGAGCTTCCCAGACCAGCTCGCCTCAGCCGTCTGAGGAAGTAGAGTCTCCGATGAGCTTTCTTGATCAGGCTAGTGGTGTTGTTGCTCCAGCTGAGGTTGTCATTCATGTGTACACCCAAGTACGTGTAGCTGGAGACCACTTCCACCGCAGATCCTCTTATGTTCAGGGGGGTGTAGGTGTTTTTGTTCCTTCTGAAGTCCACAATCATCTCCTTTGTCTTCTTCACATTGATGTGAAGGTTATTCTCTTTGCACCAGCTCTCCAGGTGTTCCACCTCCTGCCTGTAGCTGGACTCATCATTGTTTGTGATGCATCCCACCACCGCTGTATCATCTGCAAACTTTACAATGTGACAGCCTGGATGGATAGCTGCACAATCATGTGTGAGCAGAGTAAACAGGAGGGGGCTCAGCACACATCCCTGAGGAGAGCCAGTGCTGAGGGTTATGGTGGAGGAGGAGAAGTTGTGGATCCTCACTAACTGTGGTCTGTTTGTTAAGAAGTCTAGTACCCAGTTGCAAATGGAGGGCCTTAGTCCTAGTGTGAACAGTTTGTCCATCGGGGTTTGGGGGATCCTGGTGTTGAAGGCGGATGTGAAGTCCACAAAGAGCATACAGACGTAAGAGTTTTTCTGCTCCAGGTGGTTGAGAGCAGTGTGGACCACAGAGGAGATGGCATCCTCTGTTGATCAGTTCTCATGGTATGCATACTGATGAGGGTCCTCATTGATGTTGATGGTTGTTTTGATGTGAGTCATGACCAGTTTTTCGAAGCATTTAGCGACTATGCGGGTGAGGGCCACTGACTGAAAGTCATTCAGACCAGTCACTGTAGGGCTTTTTGGGACTGGGATTATGGTGGCAGTCTTCAGGCAGGTGGGAACGGTCTCCAGGGTAAGTGAGGTGTTAAAGATGTCTGCCAGCACCTCGCAGAGCTGATCGGCACATTCCTTCAACACTTTTCCGGGGATGTTGTCTTGGCCGGTTGCCTTGTGCGGATTAATCCTCCTGAAAGTACTCCTTACTTCGGCTGAGGTCACGCTGAGATGCTCTTCATCTGGTGGTGAGGTGAGTGTGGTGCTGGGTGGTCATGCTTGCTATCATACTTGATCATTGGTTCAGTGATCTGAAGTTTTAAAGCCTCACATCAACTTACACTTCTTGTCACTGAATCCAAATAGTTCAATCTTTGTCTCTTCAGACCATACAAGAAGACTTTTTTAATGTAGGCAACTGCAAATTTCAGTCAAGTTTCCTCTTTGGTCAGCACTCTCAGATGTAAAACTTTCCTTATTGTGGACAGTAACACTGGAGTTTCAGCAGTTTCTAGTTCTTTACAAAGCTATGGTGGTTGTTGAACATCTTTTCTAATTTCATTTCATCTAAAGGTGACAGATGTGCATTGGGCAAATCCATTAATTAGTCTCAAAATAATCCTTTTTTGTTCTGGAGAAAAGAAAGTGCCAGCTGCAGTAAACCCTAATCACTAATGAGAAGATAAGCTCATCAGACAAGCTTTGGTCAAATTAAAGGACATTGTGCAACCTTAAGCTGCACTTATTAAAAACATCAGTGAATGTTTGTGCTGTAAGGCCTGCATGTGTAATTTGGACCCTGTAAAAGTCTTATTTTGAAAAGCCATTGCTGTTGTATTCATTCCACCCTGGAAAACGAACAGTTCAGATAAATAATTTAAAGCCCAAAAATAAGATGACATTTATGCATTTACTCAATCTAAAATACTCTGTGGCGTGACTGAGTCATCTCTGTGTTTGCTAATGTTGATTCGCTCTAGTGGCCATCTTGAATCTGGATGAGTTCGGAAGTTTTTTCCACACCATAAGTCGCTCTTTTTTCCATAGTTTGACCAGTTCTGCGACTTATAGTCTGAAGTGACTTATATACGTTTTTTTTTTTCCTATTCATGACACAATTTTAGACTAATATGTTAAATGTTCATTCATACTGACATGAACCATAAACATTACCATTTACAGCCGCCAGGCACTAACACTCCCCCGCCAAACATTCATGTTCAAGTTCACGATATTGGTGAATTTACCAGTTACTTGCTTGTCGGACTCGTTGGCTTGTTATGTTAATTAAGCCTGCTCAGGATCCCAGGTGTCCTATTTTTGTGTATTATTGATATTTAAAGCCCTATTCGCACGGGATTAGTTTCACCTAGGGACCACATGTAATTAATAAATTACTCCCCAGCATCTGCTTTTCATGAGGCACATTCGCACGGGATAACCAAAGTCTGACACTTAGCTGAAATTTACAGACATTTTCCGGATATGATGTTAACAAGCTGTGTTGTCACAACCAAGCCGGTCCATAATAATGTGCTTAATGTGCGGTCCGGGCCGCTCTCAGGCTTTGATGTACAAAGTAGTTTTACGAATAAGCACAAAGAAAACTAAAGAATGCACAATATAACATTGCGTTAATCTACTTGTTGAGGAGGAGACAGGTCCAACCGGCCGGTTTAAGAGATTAAAAAACGCCACGTTAAGCTCAGATGGGCAACCTGTCACCGGCTGTGCGTGTGAGCGTCCGCATGACCACTGACCTACCAGTTGAAATGGACTTGCGACCTGTCCAGGGTGTCCCCGGCCAAAGCGAGCAGCGCATTCATTTAAAATAGCTTGTTTTATATTTTTTCAAATGATTTTGCTTAAACACAAACAAAAACCACCTCATTATGTATCGGATCCCGCCCATTCTGTTCAAATCATTGATTAGAATCATCACAGGACCTTGGGAGTTCAACAAAATATAGTAGGTAATTTACGGGGGAATTTTTACTTTACAAATTACTGACATGGCCCATTCGCACAGGATTAACAACACAGACAATCTCTGTAATTATTACAAATAGCATGTGATACCTAGGTAAAATTAATCCCATGCAAATAGGGTTTAAGATTAAATGTCTGTTTTTGCACTTTGTGAAATACACTTCTAAATAAATGTGACTTATATATTGTTTTTTCCTCTTCATGAGGCATTTTTTGACTGATGCGAACTATACTCTGACTTATAGTCTGGAAAATACGGTAATCAATTGTTCATCCAGTGATTACTTTCTGATAGTTTCACAAAAATCCTTTTTTTAAGTATCTCATTAGGCTAATTGTAACAAGGGTGTATGTTTGTCTTTAAAAATTGCAGACACTCCCATATTGCTGCTTGTTAGCATTCCAAACCAACAGATGCATCAAATCAGTTTTGAAACCAAATTAAAAAATGTGAAGAAATAAAAATACTATTAACAAATGACCCACGAGTTGCAAATCCAGAAGTGATACAAAAACAAGCAGACCCACCCACTCATCTCTCGCTGTAAATAAAGCTGCAGAGGCCAGAGCACCACACACACATCACAGAAGGATGTGGGTGTCACTTCCAAACACATGCTGAGCTAATTAAGATTCGTAAACACACAAGCATCGCAACAGGAGCAGATTTGGGAGAAAGGAGAATGAATTATTTCTGTGTTCTTTTTCCATCTCCTCTAATTTATTTGTGTGAAGAGAAAAAAACATAATCTGCAGCTGGATGGAAACAGAGTTAAAACCATTGTGATGTAGCCAGTGGTGCTGTGGCTCTGTTGCTTCAGGCAGGATGCAGAGAGCCTACATCCTCCTGTGTGACCCCTCATAACATCACATACTGTGAGGAAATGTTTGCTGATCTCCTGGTGTTCAATAATTTACCAGTTTCAGCCACAAATCATTTTCATTTCTCTTTTGGGATAAATACATGAAGAGAAACGTGCTTACGCAGCCAGATGCACATTCCCATATGAACACATGTGCACACACACATTTACATAGAAATAAAAGTGCACATGATCATAAAGTGAGCCTCGCCTTGCGGCGTGCAACAAATTACTTCTTTCTCAAGCATCGATCAGGGTTTATACTGAGTGGAAAAATCATCTGAGTCAGTCTGTCAGTCTGTGGAGGATGCAGCTACTGAGGGATCAGGAAAATATCTGTCAGTGAAGCATGCCTCTGAGGATGGGGGTGGGGGAGACGCAGCGTTGTGCATGTTTGTATCTGCAAGTGTAAACAAAAGGACAGTCCTGTTGATATTAATAAACATTCACGCTATTGTGATCCATTTTTCTTCCATACCTTTTTTAGCACGATTCTCGTCCCGCAGTTTTCAAGATATTTCAACAAATCATACATCAAAATGTTTAGCTCTTTCAAGATAATGCTACAATGATTTTTGGTATTGGTGCAACTTTAGCTTTTTGAAATGTTTAGCCTTTTCTGCCATCTTTTTTTTTTTTTAAATCATAGAAAATGAATTGAGCTCATTTTACATCCTTCAAATCTTTCGATGTGTTTACAACCTTTTACTGCTCCTTTCACATTTTGTTCTGGTTCAGCTTCTTTCAGCTTCTTTGTGCAAATTTAAACATTTTTTTCAGCTATTTTCAGCTTTGTCAGCTGTTTTGTGCTCCTTTTACATACTTTCTGCTAACTACAAAGTTTTTGTGCTTCTTCTAACTTCTCCCTGCTTATTTCAGCTTGTTATACTCCTTTCAGATTATGTTTGCTAGTTTCAGCTTTTTCTAGTATTTCAGCTATTATATAGATGTTTTACGCTAATTTTAGCTTTTTCAGCTTTTTCAGCTAATTCCAAATTTTTGGACTCATTTAAACTTTGTTCAGCCTAATTCAGCAAAAATTTGCTCTCTCCACTTCCTTCTGGTAATTTCAGCTTCCTGTAGCAACTTTCCAACTGTTCCTTGCTAATTTCAGCATTGTTCAGATAATGTCTACTTTTTGTGCTCATTTCTGCTTCTTTCAGTGTAACTGGGCAAACTTGTGTTCTTTCTGCTTTCTAATGCTGTTTTAAGCTTGTTCTACCTTTTCAGCTACCTTATTAGAATTTGTTTTGCTAATTTCAGCTGTTTTATGATTAATTCAAGTTTTTCTTGGTAATTCCTGCTACTTTCAGCCTAATGAGCATCTTTCTACTAATTTCAGCTTGTCGTGCTCCTTTTAGCTTTTTTTTGTTAGTTTCAGCCTTTTTTGCTATTTGAGCTATTATTTAGCTTTTTCATGCAAATTTTAACTTTTTCAGCTAATTCCACATTTTCTAGTTAATTTCAGCTCTTTTAATTTCCTTCCCATAGGTTAAGCTTCTTTTGGCCTTTTGGGGTACGTTTCAGATGTATTACTAATTTTAGCTCTTTTTAAAAAAAATCTGATTTACTAATTTTTGTGCTCATTTCTGTTTATATAAACCTAATTCATCAAATATGTGTTATTTCTGTTTTCTTCTGCTAATTTAGGCTTGTTCTTTTATTTCATCTACCGGTACATTTCAGCATGTTTTTAGCTAATTTCAGCAGTTTTTCAGCAGGTTCTTCAGCAATAAGCATTCACACTGCATTTTCACAGGAAATGCAATTTCTCTAGTTAATCTTGTGTCTGTCTCTACATCTTCCCTGCATTACAATGCTGACCACTGGATCAAACCCTGATGAACTCAAGAATCACTCAACCACAAACACACACACACACACAGACCTGTTCTGTCAGCGAGCGAAGCTGTCGATTCCGAGGGTCTCGTTTGCATAGAATTCGTGCAGGTGCGACAACCGTGCACACACATCTTCCGTCAGGATCTGAGGCGGTGCTGTACACCTGCCAGCCTTCCTCTGAGCCCGGGTACAAGCCCTGCACACAAACAGGCTCAGTGTTAATGAAGTCACTGCAGGAAGACAACAGCAGAGGATCAACAAAAACCAAGAGCATCTCAAAATAAAATCACACGTTGTGCTCTTTTCATTTCATTTCAGGGCACACAACAGATATTTTTATTCAGTCCAACACATGTTTTGATTGCATTTCAGCCTTTTACAGTGTCCCCAGTTCTTATTCTGCACTTTAAGCGTCTTCTTACTCACATTGGCGTACAGTGTTAATTCATTCAACATTTATTTATACAGGTTAGTCTCATTGAGCCTCGAGGACTCATTTACAAGAGAGACCTGTTTTAAACAAAGAGCACAGATGACAACAGTAGACATTCTTAAAAGAAAGTGAATAAATTGAGAAAAAATAAATGAAATAAAATGATATTTAAAAATGAAACAAAAACAGGTAGATTGTAAAATGATATATACTAAACACAAGAACATGTCTGCACTGGTTCTTGCCAGGAACTTAGCATATTTCTGAAGCCACTTAGCGAGGTCAAGGTCGAGAGCTTCACATCTTTTTGCAAGATATTCCATGAAACAGGAGCTGAGTAGGAGAAGGCCCTTTTGCCTAGTTCAGTCCTCACTGAGGGAACACTGCAGGTAATAATGTCCTGAGAGCGCACTCCGTAGCTGCACTCACGCAGAGACATGTAGGAGGAGATGTATGAAGGCAGCAGACCAAGAAGCGATTTAAAGATGAAAATGTACCAGTGAGAGAGTCTGCGTGAAGTTAATGATGACCAGTTAACCAGTGAATACAGGGTGCAGTGGTGGGTACGATAATCACAGCCAGTTATGAATCTTAGCGCACCGTGATAGTCAGCATCCAACATTTGCAGGGTTCTTGTAGGAGCGTTCATGTAAATAATGTCACCAAAGTCAATGGAGGGAAGGAAAGTGACAGTGACAAGGTGTTAGGATCTAATTCTAAAAAATGAAACCCAGTTTAACTTTCAGTTTCTTTTCCAAGTTTTCAAGTTTTTAATAAATAATTAAAGATGACAACAGGTGCCCGACAGGATACAAGCAGGTGACAATGACTGTTTCAATCAAAACACTTAATAATAATAAAAAAGAAACATGTTGTTTTTTCTGAACACTCGTTTTCCAAGTGTCTAAGTTAGTTAGTGGTTTAGTGTAGAGTGTGACGTGAAGGAAACAGAATCTTTAGATCTAACAATTTTTACTTAAAGTTTTGTAAAATTCACCTAATTGAAAAATTAAAAAAAACAAAAAACAATTAACTTCAACTCAAGCTGAGAAAGAGTGGAAACTCTCTTTTTATTAACACCCACAGCCATAAATGGTGTGTGATAATGTAAATGCTTTACAGATGTTGAGCCAAAACCAGGTGTTGTGCAGCTAAGAGTCGTTCCTAACATACAGTATACTTTGAGTATACACAAGAGCTGCAAAATTGTGGCCATAAGTCAAGTCAAGTCAAATTTATTTTTAAAACACATTTAAAACAGCAGCTGTTACCAAAGTGCTTAACAATAAGATCAAGGCAGTAAATTAAAGAACGAGAATAAGGCTGCTGGCGACATGCATTCTTTTAAGGAATGCTATTTTTATTGTTACGGCGTTTTCTCTGCTAACAACAGCAACTTATCATCAGTCTAAACAAGCACTTATATCAGCTTTTACATCGTCAGTTTATAGATCTTGCATTTGTTGAGGTGAATTTTAAGACAGAATAAATGCTGCCACCTTCTTACATCTAGTTATATTTTCATTTAGTTTATTCTTTCTGTCTGGTTTGGAGCTACATTAGGCTTTTCTCAGACAAAAGTATTCATCTGAAGCGGCTTCGTGAAGTATCTTGGCAGAGAGCACGTGAGAATGTGAGCTTTTTGTGGTGACATTTCGCTAGAGTCTCACTTTGACCTACTTACTGCTTACACTTAGGAACAATGAAGCTGAGCTGAGGAGCTCAATGAGATGCTCACCCAACCTGTCAGGTGGCAGTGAAGCTGCTCTACAAACCTAAAAAAGAAAAGAATAACGACTAAGGAGGGAGCTAGGAGGATGGAGATGTGATGGATGTGAAGAGTAGAATGTTGAGGCATGCTGGGAAATGATGTCATCTGGGTTTGGTGTGGTGACAAAACAGATATATTTAATGAGGTCAACGAAGAAAGGGGTGATTTATACATTTTGGACATGGGATGAGTATATAAATGTTGCTGGGGTCTTCTGCTCAGTGTAATTAAAAAGTGCACAACATAAGACACTCTAGGGATTCATACCCTGTAAATACAAGAACTTCATTTTGCAAATTGCTAATACCGTATTTTCCGGCGTATAAGTCGCAGCTTTTGCATATATTTGTCATTCCTGCGACTTATATGCCGAAGCATCCTATAAACATATATTTTTTTCCATATTCATAACGCAATTTTTGACTGATGCTTTAAATTTCTAAGAACTGCAACAGCGAGTCCTCTCGTGCATACTCTCTTCTCTCAGCTGGTGCAGGCAGAAGAACGCTGGAGAGCTAGCGGCTCCGGCCACAATGGATGGATGGAAGGATGGATGGATGGATGGATGGATGGATGGATGGATGGATGGATGGATGGATGGATGGATGGATGGATGGATGGATGGATGGCACCGCACCGTCCAGGCGAAATGAAGCTGTTTTGACCATTAAAGTGCATTTGTTAAGTAAAAGTTAAACTGTGACACACCTTTGCTATAATGTCGAGCAAACAAATAATTGTTTTTAAGCGTTAATCTTGTTAAATGTCTAAGAACTGCAACAGCGAGTTCTCCCGTGCACGCTCGCTTCACTCAGCTGGTGTAGGCGGAAGAACGCTGGAGAGCTAGCGGCTACGGCTGCGATTGATGGATGGATGGCATCTCGCCGCCCAGTCGAAATGAAGCTGTTTTGACCATTAAATAAACACATAATAAATGTGACAGATCAGCGGTGATGCATAATAAATGCAACTTATACGCCCAAGTGACTTATATATGTTTTTTCCCTCTTCGTGATGCTTTTTTTTTTTGACTGATGAGGCTTATATACCGGTAATTAAACATTCTGTCAGCACATTTTACTTTAATATCTCAACGTGTAAAGACTGAAAATAAGTGCCTCTGCTTCATGCAACAGAATGGGTTTACGGAAACACAGCAGCTGACAATTCCTGTCAATAAACTGTGAATAAACATGGCTCTCAAGTAGCACAACGTCCCCCCTAACATCTCCATCTGTCCTCATACTGTGTGTTTGTGTGTGGGCGTCTGCTTGCGTGAGACCGCTTGTACTTTGCTGAACTTGCAAAATACTAATACATATCAGATGAGGAGGTCTTCTGGAGCCAAACTGTGCAAAGCCCAAGCACACACGCAATCAGGTAATCCTGCAACCATCACTTTGAGAGTGCATTTATTTGGTCTACACACAACTTGAAGCCAAATGTCTGATTTGTCCTCAACTTAATGCAGAGCTGTGTAGAAGGATGAGTCATAATTTGACCACAAACACACAATAACTGGCCCACATGCAGGTTTGTCCAGCATCATGTGTGCAGTGGACCAGCAGCTCCATGTCCAGGGTTGCCAGGGTGTTGCTAAGGCAACAAATCGCTGGCTGTCCCAGGGGTGAGTCAACCCTCCCCCAGGAGAAATATCACTCCAGTAAGTCTGAGACTGAGCAATCCTATTACCTGTTTGTGCAGCAGTGGGATTTCTTCTGCATTTGTGTGCTATTTATGAGCCTTAGTAAAAAAATAAAGTTATTTATTAATTGATTTGTCCATTTGCACCATTTATTCTCCACACTTTCAGCCGTAAGGGATTTAATTTTCCCTGTTTGCATGCATAATAAACATTTCAGAGTCCGTTGATGTATTATCTGTATTTTATTTCATTTGTATTTTATTATTTACCAATTAAAAAGGGGGACATTAATCTTATAATCAATAATCACAGTAGAGAGCTTATTTATTTGCATTGTGAGTGAATGTTATTGTGCTACAGAGCACAAATAAATTAAATAATAAACCTCCACTGTAAAGTTCATATAATTTTTCAAAGCCATCAAACCACAAATGAGCATGGTTTATGGCTTTTGCACAAACGTCCTACTACCAGCTCCTCGTGCAGTGTGTGCATGACAATACATACACTAATGATGCGCTCGTGTGTCCCCTCAGAGGAGATGACGGTTCCGTTGAGTCCAACCAGTGAAGGCAGAGTCTGGGACATCCAGTTGGTTACCATAGCCATGGTGCTGAGCACAGCACCGATCTTCAACATGGGAACCGTCATCTTGACAGACGCTCAGGGAAGAACTCTGCCGTGCTTTCACACACAGACCAAAGTCATCCCCAAAACAGCATGGTGCTACAGGTAAGACGCTGTCGATGGGAACCAGAGAGATTTTCTCACAGCTGTAGTCTCCTCTCTAACGCGAACACAAGTTAAAGGATAAATCCTGACGCCAAAGCCACTCCAGAGTCCTCCATGTGTAAATGCATCAAGTCCAAACATCCAGAGCTGCAGGAGATGCTCTCAGAAACTGCTGGTTTAAAATGTGTGTCTCTGTGAGTATGTGTGTGTGTGTGTGTGTGTGTGTGTGTGTGTGTGTGTGTGTCCTGGACTCCTCTCCGTCTGGCAGAGAGATGTTGTGATTGAGCCAGAGCTGTTCTCTCTTTTATCCTCTAACTCTCTGCTTCCCCCTGCCTCTTCTCTCTCTCTCTCTCTCTCTCTCTCTCTCTCTCTCTCTCTCTCTCTCACACACACACACACACCCCTCCATCTCTCACTCAGATTCCCATTTAATCACTTAACTTCTTCATCCCTGCAGATAAATCTCCTCTTTAGCAACATTTAATTGGCAACATATATCACTTAAAGTTAGATTTTTATTTAATCCCCCACATCCATTCATCATTAATTTACTTCTCTTGTTCTTTCCCTTTTTTTGTCTTGGTCTTCAGTTTTCTCTTTCCTATTCAATTTTAGAGAAGACAAACATTTGTTTTTCTTTCTTTTCTCCTGCATGATTCCCTTTTTTATTGAATATATGTCTAAATAAGTCCATATTGCTTTGATTGACCTGTCCCTTGGATGTGTGTGTATGTGCTTCTGTGCGCGCGCGTCGTGTGACTGTTGTTGCAAGTTGATGCAACACTGCCACCATGTGGTTATGAGTACCTGCCTATCAAGCTTGCAAGCAGATAAAATAAATACATAAAGAACTTGTTCAGGATGTGCAGAATTATTTATTTATGTACTTATTTATTTGTTTGTTTGCAAAATGATCCAAAAAGAAAAGGCTTCTTGGTCACTGATTGATTCATTTAGTTGAAGTTAGCGTTTATCTCATGCTGATCGTCTTTCATCAAATTTATTTACCGAGGATATTCAGTTATGAAAACGTTTTTTTTTTCTTTAAACATCCAAGGAAACAGGCAGAAAAAAAAAAACATAAAAGTTGTGCCTAGAATAATCAGAACAATTTTGAAGTGATGGTCTTTCAAATATTTATCCCATCCATCATTGTTTCAGAATCAGGTCATAGGGTCAGCAACTCAAGCAGGGAAGCCCTTTCCACATCATTAATGTTAATTAGTAATATTAATAATTATAATTAATGATAATTAACATTTTCATTAATAAATAATAATAATTGATGTAATTAATAATCTTTTTCCACAGCCACATCTTCCAGCTCTTCTGGGAGGATTCCAAGGTTTTCCCAGGCCAGCAGAAAGACATACAGTAGTCTCTCCACTGTGTCCTGGGTCTCCTACCTGCCCTGAGCACCTCCCCAGTGAGGCACCCAGGGAGCACCTTACCATGCTGGAACCACCTCAACTGGCTCCCTTTGATCTCGAGAGATAAGAGCTCTACACTGAGACTGTCCCAAATAATTGAGGTGTTCACCCTGTTTTAAAATGGAGTACATCTACCCTGCGGCAAAAGCTTATTTTGACCGCTTGTATTCGTGATCTTGTTCTTTTGATCACTACCCAGAGTTTGTGGCCATAGGTGATGTAGACCGACCGATAAACAGGGAGCTTTGCCTTACAGCTCAGTGCCCTCTTCACCACAAAGGACTGGGACAAAGTCTGCAATACTGCAGACAAAATCCAGAGATACTTGAACTCCTGCACTTGAGACAGAACCTCACCCCCAACCCAGTGAGGGAAATCAACTTAACTGAGGATCATGACTTCAGATTTGGAGGTGTTGATTCTCATCCCAGCCCATTCGACTGTGAACTGCTCCAGTGAGAGCTGAAGATCACAACACGATGACACCAAAAGGACCCCATCATCCACAAACAGCACAGATGGAATCCTGAGGCCACTGAACCGGACTCCCTCCACCAGCTGCATATAGAAATCTTCAGAGTTATGAACAGAATTGGTGACATCGTGCAGCCCTGGTGGAGTCCAACTCCCAGAAGGGGTTCAACTTACTTCTGGCAATGTGAACCAAACTTTCACACTGCCTGTGCAAGGACTGAATGTCCCGTAGCAACAGACCCCAGTCCCATATTTGTGGACCCCCCACCCCCACCATGGACCTCAAGGAACATGGTTGAATACCTTCTCCAAGTCCACAAAACACATGTAGACAAGATAGTGTCATAAATGATGGTTTAAAGAGCAGAACCCAATGGTGCAGGCAGGACTCGGAGATCAGGTGGTAAAATAAGGAACACTTTAATAAAGGAGAATAAACAACATGTCATGGCAGCAAACGTTACTCAGTACAGAAGCATGTAGAAACACCAAGAAACACTAGGGACGCAGGAGATCTCACCAGATGATGCCCAGACAATGAATAACACAAATAACACCCAGACTTACATACACTGACTAAACAAGACACCATCGCAAACACCTGGACACATAGGTGAAAGATAGGGATTAATTTTAGAATGGGACCCCAGGGAGTGCAGGAGCAAGAACCAGCCACTAGAGGGCACCATCCTGACATATAGGCAAACTCCCATGCCCCCATCCAGGACCTTAATGAGGGTAAAGAGCTGGTCCAGTGGCCGGGACGGCCATGGGACACTGGACCATCAATGCAGGTTCCTGTATTGTTCCTCCTGAACCTTATGTTCAACCAGTACACCTAAATAGACCTTACCAGGGAGGCTAAGGAGGGTGATGCCCCTAAAATTTTAACACGTTCTTCTGTCCCCCTTTTTGAAGAGGGGAACCACTACCCCAGTCTGCCAATCCAGTGTACACTGAGAATTAGGTAGAGCTGTCATTTCTAACCCGGGTCCAACTCCAAAGCCCGGCCTGACCGAATTCGGGGCGGGCTGGGCCATGATAATGTGCTGGATGGGCGGGCCGGGTCGGTGTCTGGCTTTTGATTCGGCCAGCGGATCAGCCGTGATCCAATTATATGGCAACATGGCTTGCCATACATTCACCAGCCGCATGCGGCCATTTCACCACGAGCTGACAGGCCTTCAAAGAGGTCAAATAAAGTTTGGTTAAGCTTCAGATAGGACTATACTGCCAGGAAGTGATCCATCGTCCAAATGGACGTTCATTCAGCCGCTGCACTCAGCGGACGCACGCGGCCGATGACCCAAACAGGTGAGATCCCTAAGCAGACGTGTGTCAGAGTGGTCCGTGTTTGAATGAATCAGAATGCAGGCAGAAACAGGGTTTTGATGCGTATTGATGGCCATGAAAGGACAAACACCCCCTCAGCTTCGATCTTCTGCCCTTTTCATTCAGCTGCGCATCACCGCGGTGAAGTTAGTTTTACGTTGGACATTGGACATTCAAGCTCCGTGGCTTCAGCGATGTGCTCCTCTCATTCGATCCGATGCAGGCAGTCTGATTTCAGTCAGCTGAACTCGAACGAGAGGAACACACCGCTGAAGCCACGGACCTCGAATGTCCAACGTAAAACTAACTTTACCATGGTCCGCACGTCCCCCGACCGTTAAGCAGTCAAAGCTTATTTAAAAATATCAGGGTGTTTTTTTTCTCGGATTCTGACCTGTAATTACTGTTAATTCGTCGGGTCAGGTGGGGTTCAGAAATGATGGCTAAGGGTTGGGGCTGGGTCGGATTGTATTTGTTGGGCCCGAATGCAACTCTACATTTAGGTAACCTACAAATTTAATTCAGACAAGGTTGAAATAATTACCAGGAGTCGATGGGTGGCCAAGCTGAACATTTTGATCAAGCTGCTTTTTGTAGTCCCACTTTAACGGCACTTTACTGCTGAAGAAGAGCTTGACTCATCCAGGCTTCATGTCTGAAGCGATCATATAATTTTCAACTATTCTGCTAACCCACAATGAATACTTTATCATGCCTTTGTTCTCCTCAGCAGGAACATGCTCACCGTTTTTATTTTCAGTCAGTAGCCTGCAGGAAACATGGATTATAAATAAAATGTCCTTCGGCAAACTCTCTGAACTGACATGAATATTTCAATCAGCACCACTTAAAAGTAACACAATCATCAGGAGATGGGGAGGCACGTCAGATCCAACAGGACAGCTGAGAAGCTGCTTCCTTTGGAAGAGTAGTTATGATCATTGACTCAAACAGCTCCATCCCTGTGATATATATTTTATGAAGAAATTTGCTGAATTATAGCCGTTTTTGTGTCGGCTAACATTGATTACCTGTGGCTGCAATCTTGTATGAGGTTGTCACCAAAAGTTAATTAGTTGCAGATGTACAACCAATCAGTTTTGTTTCCACAAGAGTTTAATTAAAATATGGTCAGAGGTTCAAGGGATATTTTGCTAACAAACATCCAAACAAGCCACAAAAACATAGGCGATTAAAGGAGCAGCTGTTCAATAATTTTATGATAATTACCAATGAAGATGATTTCAAGCATTTTCTTCAGCATTGTTGCATTTTTGTGTTACGTTTCAAAAATACAGTCCTAATTACAGGCAGACAGTAGGTCTCATTATTGGTTTATTTACTGACCATTTAAAACATGACGGCTAATATCTAAAAGATGTTTAAGCCTCCATAAATGAGATGTTAACTTTAGGGATACATGATGTTGTTTTTTTGTTTACACAAATCTACTAAACTATTATTGTTTTTCAACTAACTTTAATTAATATGTGGATACATATGTTTGATTATTACATATTAAATTAAATAAAAAAGTTTCTATTTTATTGGTGTGCCTTAAAGTTAAAAAATAATTTAAAGTGTGAATTTATAAATTATCTTAATATAGCTTCTTTTTTTTTCAAAAGTGTTGACTTCATCCTACATTCACTTTAAATGCATATTGTGGTAAATAGCAATACTTATAATTAAAGCATTTATAAGTCAATTATTAATAAATGTTTATTCCTGTATATTTTTTCACTGCAGTATACTGTAATTAATAGGAATATATATTTTTTTAA